TCCTGCATCACGGCACCCCGAAGGTGCTCATCACCGAAAAAGGTGCGGCATTTACTGCGGAGCTAACCCAAGCGATTATGGCTTACAGCCAGAAAAATCACTGAAGTCACTGCCGTACAACAGCATACCACCCACACACCAATAGTCTCACCGAGTGCCTAAACAAGACCATCACTGACATGTTGGCCATGTACATCGACGTCGAACACAAGACGTGGGATGTCATCGTTTCGTACGTAACCTTCGCATACAACACCGCCGTACAAGAAACGACACAGATGACGCCGTACAAGTTGGTCTACGAAAGGAACCCGATAACGGCGCTCGATGCCATGCTGCCAAACGTCGCTGAAAAAAACCTCGACGTCATCGTCTACCTTCAGCACGTGCCCGCCTGTGCATGAAGAATCAGCAGGCCGCCGACAGCTGCCGTTACAATCTTCGACAAAGCTTCGTTGAGTACCAGCCTGGTGACCGTGTCTGGGTATGGACACCGATATGCCGATGTGGACACAGTGAAAATCTTCTACGACCGTACAGAGTAGTTCGACGTCTCGGCCCACTCGACTATGAGGTTGTTCCTGACGGCATTACAAACTCAACAGCACCATGCTCGACCTGAAGTCGTCCATGTCGTACGCCTCAAATCATTTCATGCACTAACCTGAGGACCGTATTTTCTTGTTGTTACTGTTCTTTATTGCTTGTGCTTGCTGTTTATTGTCTTTAATATTGTACCTTTGTTTTTTGTTAAAGCATCGGGACGGTGCCTTTGTCAGAGCAGGGCAAGGCCACGTTCCTTTCCTCAAGTTTTGTTATCATCTCGTTACACTATGTTCAGCGCTAACTGCGCCATCGATGTTCGAAAAGCCTTGAGGCTGTAGTAGATCGTTTTGTTGAGATTACGCACTCCTCGTGAACGTTACAAATTATATTCTGGAACCCACGTCGCCAATAGCGAAAATACTAGAACATTCTATGGCAAGTGTATAAATGGCGACGCGCTTCGCCACTTGTCAGTTGATCGACGGCCGATACTCTGTTCGCCGCTATCACTGCCAGCGGCTTGCTGTAATCTGACTTTCCTTTTACGCGGCCACAAGTTAGGCCCAAATAAACAGTTTATTATCCGACCAGCAGTCTGCTCTCTTCGTCCACGCCATGACCCCTTGACAGTATAGTTTGGGTTTAAAAAGGCCTAAAAATATTTTAATTGGATAAAATCAGTGTGTCATCTTGCCCAGAGCCATATATCTGAAAACTTCTGAATAATCAAACTTCTTGATAATTCAAACAAAACTCAGAAGTCCCTTCGAGTTCTAATTAACGTGAGTCGACTGTAGTTACAATATTTAACCTCAGATGGTACCACAAGATGGAGAGCTCTGACACATAGGTCACCGGTGGATCACGCCACACATAGCACAACCACAAGTTCATTGAGTTCGTTGTGGGTCACCAGTGGGTCATAAGCCTGTAACATCAGACAAGTATTCTCCTTGGCGGACGTATCATCCTGCAACAAACATCATACCTCTGCGTTCAAGTGTCATAAGGTTATCACAAGGAGAACTAACAGACAATGTCTGTTAGGTCTGCAAGTTGGGCCAGTTGGATTACATTCATGTTTGGAAATTTGGTTGAAGTCCACCTAAAGGACATGGACAGAAGAAGCTGACAAGGACAGTGCTTACTCTCACAACTGTAGTTCTATTAATCACAAAAGGTATTTAAAGCAGATACATGGTTCTCTGCGCATGTGCAACAGAGCAGGGAGCAACAAAAAAGCACTCGTAGTGGGATTAAATTTTTTTTCTGTGTTCTATGTCATTTATTGGATGTCTCAAGCACTAAGAGTCTAGATACCGTATTTACTCGCATAATCCTCAGACTTTTTTTTTGCCAGAAAATCGATGCAAAGTTGGGGGGTGCGAGAATTACGCGGGGAAAACTTTTCACGAAAACGCAAAGAGCGAAAAAGAAAACGAAGTGGCCGCAAATCGGGATTCCCACACAAGCAACTTACAGCAAGCTTCAAGAAGTACTAATTAGAACTTACCTAAGCAGTAAAAGCAGAGGTTCAACACAAGGCAAGATTTATTTGTGACACAAAAAGTGGAAGCATAGTCGAGAATTAGAATATCATACACGAAGCTTGTGGGCGTTGCGGGTGTAGGTAGGCCCCGCCACAGTGGTCTAGTGGCTAACGTACTCGGCTGCTGACCTGCAGGTCGTGGGATCAAATCCCGGCTGTGGCGGCTGCATTTCCGATGGAGGCGGAAATGTTGTAGGCCCGTGTACTCAAATTTGGGTGCACGTTAAAGAACTCCAGGTGGTCGAAATTTCCGGAGCCCTCCACTACGGCGTCTCTCATAATCATATAGTGGTTTTGGGACGTTAAACCCCACAAATCAATCAATCAATCGGGTGTAGGTAGCGGTCGGCGCTCAACAGGAGCCCTCAAAAGGTAAGCATAGGACGTCAGTATTGGGCTGATGGCTATTTAACAGAATCGTCCGCAGTTTCCTTCTGAAGAAATAAAGTTTACCATCAATCCCAGTTTTAGGCACACAGCGGGCCCAACGCGTTGGTAGATTTCAACTGCCATCACCAGTAACGAACACAAAACTCGTAGGCTCCGAAGGGCCTACCGGCAGCCCTGTTGCCGTTGTTTAGCGCATGATCTATCACTTGCAACTTGAAGCAGCCGTGTGGCTTCAGTATCATTCCATAACCTGCCAAGATTACCGACACAACATACAAAACCAAAACACGCCGCAACGCGCACTTGCCACTTCGGCTTAGTTTGGATTAGATTGAATCTCTGTGCAATAGTACGCTTGATGCTTAAGAGATGGCGCCAGATGGTGCGCGCTATCATCATTAATGGCTGGAACGAGCAGATGACATTATTGCGGCAGTTTTCGGGGGTGCGATAATTACTCGAGGACAAAAAAAAATCTTATTTTTTCTTAGGTGATGGGGGGGAGGGTGTTTGCGAGAATTATGCGAGTGCGAGGATTACGCGAGTAAATATGGTACACGTATTCTTTATCGTGCTGCACAATTGTAGATTGGCTAGCACAGTCACATCCCCTCCTTTGGATGCGGTATATGCGTGTTGGCTGATCCTTATGTCTAAAAACTACTTTGATTTCTTCAAACAAGGTAACATTCACAGCTTTTACAGTGTTCTGCCAGGTGAGTGTTCCTTGATGCCTTAAGAAGTGCGTGGTTTTCTCTAAGCCAATCATTCATGCATCACCCTGACTGTCCGAGGTAGGCCTTACTACTGGAAAAGTGAATCATATAAATCAATCCCTTTAGGCATTTCACAAACATGGTTCGGTGTTTTATGAAGCAAGCTTTTGAAACTAAGTGCTTATTGATGCCCGAACACAAACTTGCCAGTTTTTTTTTTTTTTTTTTTTTTGCCAGAAACTACACGACTACGCTGTCTACTGCCAACGTGATTCAAGTTCTGTGCCAACTTGTATGCATATGGAATGACTGCCATTTTCCCGTGCTTCTTCGACTCAAAACTGGCTCACATTCTCTCTCTCTTTTTTTGCCCTTTATTTCTCTGGCTAAGAATGTGCACACTAAGAAAGTCAACTGCGTGGGGTAACCTGCCTTTTGGAATTTTTCGCACTGACTCTTGAAACTATTGACCACACCATTTTTCATAGCTGACATGAGACAAGGTTTAACTATCCCCCTCTTTACGAATTCGAAGTGCCCAGATGCGTAATCTAGAACTGGCTTAGCACGTGGTTGGTAACACCAGCAAATTTGTTCCCTAGTAAGGACCAATTTTAAATCCGAAAAATTGCAGTTTGTTATTTTTAGGCAGCTCGTTACTCAAATTAAGGCCCATGCTACTCTCCTTAAACATCTTTAAAACATTTACTACCTCTTCAGAAGGATCTTTGCTATGTGTGACTTTCAGAAATGTGCTGCTCTCAATTGTCTTGTCAAATTTACTCGAAAATGTTTTGCTAAGAATAAGCACTATGGATGACCCTATACATATTCATATAGCTGAAAGAAATACTTGTTAAGACTTGTTACTTACAAGTTGTTATTAGTACACGTGCATCATTACTAGATTATGTTGGACTCATGTGCATGATTCCTATTTCCCTGAAGTCAGCCGCGCTGCTGTTTACCGAATGCTTTTTTTTTGTTTTTATTAGCGGCGCTGGACACCGTTCTTTCATTTCTCCGCTGTAGAAAGAACGGCAGGCAAGAAAGTTGGTGAATGCTCCGCCTGCAGTGCCACCAGGTGGCTTTTTGAATGTGTAAGAAGTACAGCAAAGATTACTCTCTGGCACAACCTAAAGCTTGCCTCTAGTGTGTAAAATACAATTTCAAGTCATACACGTTTGTTTTTAACCAAATTGAGTACCTGCGAGGATTTTTTGTCCTGCCAGTAGATTTAACCAGATCACTGTTGGGTTATGCTAGCGGTCATTTTTTTTTTTTTTTTTGTCAACTTTCAACAAGAAATTAAAATATAATGCCTTTTCTATGCGCAAAAAAGCATGCTTGTTGACACCGGTGTAATGTAGAATCTTATCATTTTCGCCACAATCAGTAAAAGCCCCTTTAATAATAATCTCCTGCCTTTTCGCCCTCTATCATCTTTCTCGCTGTTGCCATTGTCAAAAGCCTTGTAGCCTCTTGTGTGTTTTTAGAAAATGTTGCACATTCCTAAAGCAGCTAGAATGAATAGCAGTAGTTAAGGGAAAATGACAAGACATGTATGAGCATCACCAAACAATGGCAGCGAGATGAGAAGGGCTCTGTCCAAAAGTGGCTTGGAACATTTAACAGACCATGGCCATGGGTGACATATTTGGATAGGGTAGCACCCTCTTGTATGACCTTAGGTTGTCTGTAGGTTGCACTCACTGTATTTCGCGAGGTTTTGCTGTGCCACATCTTTTACAGTTACCACCAGTTGACCAAGAATGACATATAAACTTTTTTCTTTTCAGGTTGCTCTATGGCGCGTTGTCTGTTGCCGTTTTTTTTTTTATGGCATTTTTTCAGCCAGATTTGATCCTGTGAAGCATGTCTTTTATTACTCTCTTGCATGTGGCATGTCAATAAAAGCATCTTAAAAATACTGAAGGCTCAGTTTCTCTCACTATTATCTCAGCCTTGTGACTGTGGGGGTCTAGCCATGCTTTTTTACAGCAGTTTGCTACTCCTTCACTAAATTCACCCGCGAAACGTTTTTTCCTTCTTTCTTCTTACTGCCCCGCCACGGTGGTCTAGTGGCTAAGGTACTAGACTGCTGACCTGCAGGTTACGGTATCAAATCCCGGCTGCCTTTTCGATGGAGGTGAAAATGCTGTAGGCCCGTGTGCTCAGACTTGGGTGCACGTTAAAGAACCCCAGGTGGTCGAAATTTCCAGAGCCCTCTACTACGGCAGCTCTCATAATCAAATGGTGGTGTTGAGATGTTAAACCCCACTTGTATATCAATCAATATCACCCTCCTTTCTGCCTCCCTAAGACAATTTATGAGCTGCCTCTTTTCTCTTGCCTTGTCTCCTGCTCCTTCCGGACGCTCATGCTGTGAGCGCTTCGCCTTAGTGCAAAACTGTGGTGCTTTTTTACTTGTTTATATAATTCGTTCGATTTTGTTTATTTTGGTGTTTGCAACACAATGTGTAAATCAGTTATACATTATAATAAATTGCTTGGTAGATATTTCGTTTCTATATAGCAACAGCCAGGGTTTACATGTTATGGGCACATTCTTACTTGGATTTCTTTTCCCATTTTATTCATTCCAATGGCATTGCAATACCCAGCTTTGATAAATGCGCGTTATGTTTTGTTCATGCTGTGGTTTGCTCACATCAGGATGAAGCAACTGGCTCATGTGAACCTCCACGGGACTATTTGTGTTTCTTAGGGCTCAATTCAGGATAGGCATTACAAAGACATCACTTATTCAACTGAAGTCATGGCCTCGAACTTTATCCATGTTACCCTGCACGGATGTTGTTAGCATATAAATGACATGAGCAACGGTGATAGACATGCTCAGGGTTCTCCTTTACGGAGGGAGAGAACACACTCTGAACCACAGAGCTCACTCCTACTGCCTTTCATTGAGTTAAAAAAAAAAATGAGGGCTGCATAATGATTGCACACATTGGTTTTTCTTTTGTGCTTGTCTTTGTGTATGTATTGCCATAATTATAAAATTATATTCATTTTATGAACGAGCAGAAAGCGATTTTTGCTGCCTCAGAAGTTATCACAGTCGAAAGCAAAAGGGCATTGAACACTTAAGTCTTGTAAGACTACGTACAGGCTTTCACGTCTGCGGCTGTGGACTTAAATACCAAGGCTTATTAGTTTTGCTGCATAAGCTAACAATAAAGGTTTCATGGTACTTCAAAGCCCACTTAGACCCCATTTTTTGATAATTCATTTGCAGTAGAAAAGCACCCATGGAAAGCGAACAGGGGTCTTCTGAATGGCCGTGTGGGTATATTTTGTTTACATGCAAGGTTTCTTCAACACGTACTAGCTACACAGTCATATGTATATATATACTGTATTATATATAGTTGCACCAAATTATAATATATATTGTATATAGTTGGGGGCACTCGCTGCCTCTCGACCCTTCTCCTGCGCACGCCTACGGCATTGGTATTTCATGCATATATTGAATTTCTTAGGTGCGCATTTTTAGCAGCCGACTCGTCGTCTCCACTTTAGCAACCTCTCTCTATAGGAGGCAAACTGAGAACGTTCCACGAAATCACCTTACATTATAAATCCCATCATAAGATTTCTCCAAAAGCAGCTGAACAAAAAAAAGGATATCATGTGGCACAAATTGCAAACCGGGTGTTTCCATACCCTCATCTGTACAGTAAATGGCACATTAATCCCATATGTGCGCACTGTAATGCTATTGCAGGCCTAGTGAACAGGTCTGGGCCTGCCCTTCTTTCGACGATCCGAGCAGAAACATAGAATTCTGGGAGGCCTTATTATGCAGCCACGGCGCTGAAGAACTACATAGCCATCGGTCTTGCCCTGACCGCCGCAGAGTCCCAAATACCAGCTGACAGCTAGAGTATGAACGCGGGCAAAAAGCAATAGCTCCCGTCATGTTCGAGGGGGGGGGGAGGCAATATATATATATATATATATATATATATATATATATATATATATATATAAGGGAAAGAAGTGTATACCTAAGGGCTCGTTTTTCCGTGTTTTAACACAATATTAATGAGATCTAACAGACAGTAATGCCAAGGAATGTACAGAGGAAGTTATTAGAACCATTGGAATGTAAATAAGAAGAAAGAAAAGTGGATGAAAAAATAACCAGCCGTGGGCAGGAACTTTGAATACGGCTGGTTATTTTTTCATCCACTTTTCTTTCTTCTTATATATATATAATTATCAACGATTTTACGCGGAGTTGCTTCAACTGATCAAGCATCTGGAAGGGCAACCCGTGCGTGTTCCTCGAGTTTTCGTCCAGGGATTGTCGTCGTACCTAATGAGAAACAACGTTTTATACAAGAGAAACTTCGAGCACAGCAGGGAGAAATTCCTACTCGTCGTTCCTTTGGCCTTGCGACCCGAAATGCTGGAAGCCTGCCACGATGACCCAGCAGCAGGACACCTCAGAGTGAGTAAAACATTGGCTCGCATCCGCACCAAGTACTACTGGCCAAAGTTACTGGATGCTGTAAAGCATTATAGGAGGACATGTAGAGATTGCCAGAGACGCAAAACACCTCCATTGAAACCTGCAGGATTTCTCCAACCAATAGAACTCCCTAAATCTTCATTTGAACAAGTAGGAATGGATCTGCTTGGTCCATTTCCTACGTCATCAACGGGAAACCGATGGATAGTAGTGGCGACAGACTACTTAACCCGTAATGCCGAGACAGCCTCTCACACCAGGGGCACGGCTATAGAAGTCGCAAAATTTTTCGTCACTAACATTGTACTACGGCATGGTGCCCCAAAGGTGGTTATCACGGATCGAAGAACTGCATCCACAGCCGACCTGACGCAGTCCATTATGATACTTACCCACGCATGTCATAGGGAAACAACGGCTTACCACCCCCAAATGAATGGGCTAACCGAGCGACTCAACAGAACTCTAACCGATATGTTGTTCATTTACGTTGACTTGGAGCAAGATACGTGGGACAAGATACTGCTGTACGCCACTTTCGCTTATAATACTGCTGTGGAGGAGACTACTAAAGTGACGCCATTTCAGCTAGTCTATGGTCGAATAGTTACCACACCATTAGATGCAATGCTGCCTGTAAGTGACAATACAGAGCACAAGCCTCACATCAGCAAGTTCATTCAGCGAGCCGAAGAAGCACGGCAGTTGGCGCGACATCACATAAAACAAGAACGCATTGATGCGAACCGTTACGATATATATCTATATATATATTTATATATATATATATAATGTATTACTGTCTCAGCTATTTCCTCGTAAAAGTTTATCTATGTGCGTACTATTGGCAAGGAACCTTTGTGATGAGAATACTAACAGCATAATTAGAATTGGGTCTGAGCACATTTGCCAAGGATTGTCCCATGGTGACCGCAGTTTACCACATTTCTCGACAAAAAGTGTGCGATCATTGCATAACTTACACCCGTTAAAGCATAACTGTGTGATGGAATGCCTTGAGAGACCAATCGCAGCAACATGGAAGATCCACAGATGTCCGGCATCAAAAGTGCTCTTTTATTTCTCAGCCTCGAGCAGGTTTCATAACTCGCAGTCGCTGGTATCGTCTTCCAAACCCTTGGTAGAGTTCATGCCAACTTTTTTGAGTTCTCGAATCAGGCGAAGTCTGTCCTGGCTCTAGAGGAATCCGCTTCATCCATGTTTTTCGCCAACAGATGCCCACTTGGCGTACACGAGGTGAAACATGTGGCCTCCGCAATGGCTGCTGTGTTGGGCAGCGGCACATGGCACGTTGGAGCTTGGCGAGGTCACCACTGGGAACAACGGTGGGGGCTGGTAGTTTATGTCAACCTGCAAAAATTGGGCGACCCTCAAGCTTTTTCTTTAAGAGTTGAACGTGATAGCGATGTCCTGTCTCTAGTGCGCACCTGAAACGCTTAGTGCACGAAATCTTTTAGAGCTTGCTAGGCACCTACTACGTGGCCTTGAGGGAATAGGTGCAGTAAAGTGTCAGTCTTTTGTAGTGGGGGGTGGGCTTGAAACCCTGCAGTCAGGATAATTGCATGTGTGATGCCCGGAGGCAATGTATGCTTTACCACACATTATTACTGTGATATCTCATGTTGTATTGTGTAGCATGTATACAGGACATGTATACAGGACATGGAGTCTTTTGCGTGGCAAGCTCGCGTTCGGTCACGCACAAGATGACTTTTCGGTCACAACTAAGTTGCCGATATTGGAATTTCTGTACAACGAGCTCTTTAAGGCAGTCACGTTGATACAAGCCAGCTGTGACGATTATCACCAGAGAACGCACAATGCAACAGCAGACCATTGCAATCATAATTGGGGTAAGCTATTGTTTAATAGCAGCCACTGTGTAGAGATAATTAGTTGGAAATCTATAATATTCGTTTTGGAATGGCAAGCAGTTGAGAAAAGGGGTAAAATGAAATTGCACACTGAAATCTTAACTGTCTGAGAAGATTCTAAAAAGGCCAAATTTTTACTCTGGCTCTCTCAAATGCCTACTCTCCTCAGGAGTATACTGGAGTGCAGTCTACACCAGCCACATGGCTGAAAACAGGTACGCTATTAGACACACTGTCATGGATAACTGACATGAAGCAGCTCTTCGGCCAACAGGATTAGCCAGTAGCTGAGCCAGGAAGCCAGGCTGCCGACACATCCATAGTGTCTGGTTATCATAGAGTTTTTGCAAAACCACAGGACAGAATGGGAGGCTTTTTGGACAATACCTGTGGCATGATCTGTGGGGCTGGCGAACTCGAGCTTGGAATTCTTGGTATAATGGTAGTTTAAGTGCACAAAGAAACACAAAAGAACACACGACAAGCGCTTTCTCGCAACTAAAAGCTTTATTGAAAAGAGAATATATAAGCAGG